CCTGGCCAAACACTTGTCATTCGCTGCCTCCCCTTAATTGGCTCTAATTGCACATGGACATTATCAATAGCAATTGGATTGGACTGGGCTGATGTTATTCGCTCTTAAATCTTCCTCGGTGGCTGGAAAGGGCTGTATGCTCCCAGGCTGCTCCTGCTGAGCTCTCCATGGCCATGGAGCCTTGTGCCTGGTGCCTCCTCCCCAGCCAGCCCTGCCTCTGCTCCCAGGTAGAAGCTCCGGGATAGCCCCAGGAGCCATCCCAGCCACACACCCCCCATGTCTCTAAGGATCCACATCATCCAAAAAGTGGCCAGACTAGGGGAGTTCAAAGCCCCGGGGCAGCTGCCAGATGGATGCAGAGTCCCAGTCCCACTCCCTGCCCGTGGTCTGATGGATGCAGGTTGGGGCATCACCGTGGGAGTCCTCAGTGTCTTTTTGCTCCTCTGAGTAATGGTGCAGGTCGGTGGCTTGCAGAGAAGGTGGCAGAAGTGCACCCAGGAGACTCTTGGCTCCCCCCAGCCCTGTTGTGATGTGCTGCTCAGGATGTGCTGAGGTCCTGGGTGCCCTGCAGAGACCCACCCAGCTGTACTTTCCCTCCCAGGAATCCCACCAAAGGCATGAAGCCCACGGAGCCATTTCTCTTGTGTGTTTATTTTAGATAAACTTAGATGCTGCTGGGTTTAAAATTAACCTTTCCAAGCTGCCTGTGGTGGTGTTAGCTGGAGCTCTCGTCGGTCAGAGCAGGTCCAGAGGGAGAGTCCCAGGAAAAGACGTGTCCATTTTGGGTGGTGGCAGCAGTGCCTTCTGCTCCAGCAAGTCAGCCTGATAGCTCAGCCAGAGACAGTGTGGGAGATGGCTGTTCTCCTCCCAGCTCAGCCCAAATCCATTTTTTAACCTGTTAATAATAGTTTTACACATAATCGTGATCACACCTCCAGAAAAATGCTGCGAGAGCTCTCCTGGCAGTGCTGAGCTGGAATCCTGGCATCTCATGGGGGTCGTTCCTGCACAGCCCAGCGCTGGAGACAGCCCCCCAGGCTCCCAGCAGCCAGGTCAGGAAGGGCACAAAGCAGAGCAGGGTCACCCCAGCGTGTTAATGTTCAGAGAAATCAAGGAAGAAAATAATGAACAGCACGTTATTGGCAGCAGGCATGAATGGACTGAGCCGTGGTGGCTGCAGGAGGCAGCTGCTGGGGACTGCAGCAAGGAAGGGTCTTCCTGCTGGGGAGTCCAAAATCCTTCTCCTGTCCTCCTCCAAAGTACCCCACGGGGATGTGTTGCCTGTGGAGAGCACCCCAGGGACTCAATTTACTTTTCCAGGTGGAAAATTACATTCTTGCTTAATAACTGTCGTGGGAACAGAACTCAGCCCTTCTCAGCCTCCTGCTCCAGCAGCTCCAGGCTGCTCTTCTCTCCCATCCAGCAGTGCCAGGGAATGGCCCCTGGAGGAGGGAAAGAAGATGTGCTCTCCTTTCAGAGGGGATTATTCTGGGATGGGACCAGGAGATGATTTAGATAATTATCCCATGATGTTGAGTATCTCAGGAACAGGAAGGCAAATAGGAGATGCTGCAGGCTTTGAGATTTGCCCTTTTGCTTTCTAATGCTGCAGTTAGAATAAAGGAGCCCTGACCACAAGCAGGGCCTTGCCTGAGCTCCTAGGCAGTGAGTAACATTGAACCTCTTCTCTCCTCTCCCCTTGCCTTCCCTTTGTGTGAATTATTCCAAACCCAGCTCAGCATTTCAGCAAAAATAAGGACCCCCATGCAAAGCCCAGCTCCTCTGCCACCCTGGTTTGGTCCTACCTGCCTAGACCCTTGGAGATGTTAAATATTTGTCATTTCTTTGTTTCTGTAGCAGCTGGGACCTTGGCTCCTGTTTCAAGTTAGCTTTTTTCCCCCCTCTCTCCCTCACTCTTTTCGTTTGTTTAAAGTCTGATGTATTTTCTTTCAGTTATTAACTTTTCTACATTAATTGGAAGGCTAATGAACCACCTCAAGCTCTGATCCACACAGGCTGCTTTGCTTGAGTCTCAGAGTTTGTTTTATTAATGCCAGCTCACGTGACAAGTGATGCTCTCAGGTGCTCCAGTGTGGAGTCCCCTCAGTCCCCTCTGGGTCTTGGGTTTCACTCGTGGTCCTTGCAGCAATGTCAGGGGAGCAGATCCATGTTTCCCAGCCCTGTGTAATGAGAGGAAATAGATTCAGCTCAGTGCCCGGGTGTTTTAATGAATCATCAATGTGTGCATCTCTGTGCTAAATTCGATGAGGTTTTACTGTCCTTTCCAACCATTACTCAGGAGTGCAGCAATTGATCTGGAGCATCTCTCCTTGTCGGGTGACCTGCTGGTGAGAGGTTTTGGTCTCTCGTTCAGCTTTATCAGGCAGAAGGCCAAAGCAGAGAGAAAGCTGGAGAGCTGAGCTCTCCCAGATGAGCTTATCCCTTGGCCCCATCCCACAGCCCGTGGGTACAGTGACTCCAGTGCACAGCCCAGCTCCATCCAGCCCTCCCACTGTGCTGTGTCAGCTCTGAGAGCACATGTCTGGATAGTGCAATATGCAGGAGGTCATTAGACCTGCTGGGAAGGCTTTCACCATCACTAAACGACCTTTAAAGGTCCCTTCCAACCCAAACCATGCTGTGATTCCATGACAGCTCTTGGGGCCGTACTCGCTGGAGATGTGAGCCAAGCCCTGGACTCCCTGCCTGAGGAGCTGGGTTTGCACCTCCGCCCATCTGCAGCTCCACTCATCTTCCTGGAGGAGGATTAGGCAGCATCCCTCCATTTGCCTGAGGCTCCTGGGCTCATTCCTGGATGCACTGTGCTCTAAGATCCTTGTCTGAGAGCATCAGATGAACGTCCCTTGTCCTCCAGCCCTGGCTGCTTGAGTAGATGTCTGGCTGTGTTACAAGAGCCCCTGAGAACAGATTTTTGCCTTGGCCCATTTCTGACCTCCTCCAAGCACAGATTCACCCACTTCTCCTCTCTTGGCTTTGTTTTCTAATTGTAAAGGGAAAGAAGCTGAGCTGCCAGCATGGCAGGAAGGCAAATGATCCTCACTGGGGGGTGGGAGTGGGTCCTTGGCTAACAAGTTCTGCCTCCATCTATTAAAGATGAAACCCCAGGTTGCGGGCGTGTGCAAGTGGAGCTCCTGAGCTTTCCTGTACAGAAGGAACTTGCATTGGAACAGCATAACACGGGCAGGTCAGCTTGAAAACAGCTGAACTTTGCAGATAAGCAGTGAGAATTTATTTAAAGAGAGGAAAAAATTATGTATATCTCTCTCTCCCCCCTTCAGCGTCTCCTCAGTCGTTGCTCATAAATCCAGGCAAAGAGCAAGGATCCAGCTTTCCATTCCTTGCTCCAGGTGTTTATTTTAAGACTTCCATGAGATGTAGAAACACCAGGCTCCTGACTCCACACCCTGATGCAGAGCAGCTTCCTGCAGGCTGGCTGCTGGGAGGAGCACTGGGAATGCTGCAGGATGGGAGCCGAGGGCTCAGTCCCTTTCCTGGAAGGCAGAGCAGTGGCTTTCTGCCCACCTGCAAGCTCTTGCTGGAGCTACCACGGGAGCATCCTGTGCTGGAGATGAGATTTGGGTGTCCCAGCACACCCCCTGCCCTGGGCAGAGCCTGCCAACCCCCCAGCAGAACAGAGCTCAGGGTGCAGTGGTGCACAGGGAATACCTGGAGCATGCTGTGAGCCCAGAGAAGGGCTGTTTTTAGTGGGTGGTGCTCAGATATGAACACTGGTGGCAGCATTAATGCCTTGCTGGGTGTTGCTGGCCCCATCCTCTGCAGAGCCCCATGTCCAAACCCTCCTGCTGACGTGACTACCGCAGCCTTTCATTGCCACCAGCTCCCCCAGATGCAAAACCAAGTCCTCAGGGCAGCTAAGCTGTGGTTTCCAGAGCCCAGAAAGTACCAGTGCCTGAGACTTGGGGCAGGGAGCTCGGGGCAGCAGCTGCCTCTGTGGGCAGGAGGTGAGGGCTGCCCGGCTGGCACAGAGGCTGACTCACAGGTAAGTGGGTTTCACCACGACTGATGCACCGAGTTAGGGATGGAAGCAGGCAGCACCCCTGGGAGCTATAATCCATTGCCTCGCTAACAGAAATGGAAATTCAATTTGGGGAGGGCAGGGAAGCTCACTGTCTGCTCCAGCACAGCCGGTGCAACCCCCGTGCCCTGGGGCTCTGCTGCTCACAGCCCCCTCCATGGCCAGCCAGCACCAGGATCGAATTTGCCTCAGTGCTGGGGAGCTTGGCAGTGTCTGAGTCTGGCTGGTCCCCACACGGGATGAGGAGTGGGAAGAGAGAGCTGGCACATAGGGAATGTGCTCAGGGGTATGGGCAAGTGTGCAGGATCCAGGGCCCCCTGCCTTGGTCCACGCTGTGTCTCTGGCCAGACCCACCCTCATCCTTCATACCAGAGCCACAGAGTCTGGACCAGCCCCACGGCTCACAGGAACTATTCCATATATGTCCCAGGATCAGGAGAATCACTTCTCCTTTTAAAAGGATCACTTTGCTCAGTCCTATTCCCATAACAAATTGGAAGGGGTCTGTGGGTTGCTTGTTGGCTTCATTGTGCACCAAGGGGGTGCTGGGGCTGCAAATCTGAGTTTGCATTTGCCCTACAGAGGCACAGGTGAGTATTTAATATCTCCCCAAATGGGAGACAGAACTGGACCTCAGCTGCTCCTTCAGCTCCTGCTCCAGCAGCAGAGGTGAGGATTGCCATGCGTGGAGGAGGCTGAGCAGCTCCCATCACTTCTGCCTCTCCTCCTGCTCCAGCCGTGCCCCTTCTGCTCTTCTGCAGAGCCAAAGGCAGGTGGATGGGCCGTGCT